GCAGTGCCACCCGTGGCCTCGTGGGTAATGGTCTCGCTTTCAAGTCAAACGCATGCGGGTTTGCATCCGGTTGGCGCGAAAATTTTTGCTTCGCTCCGTATAAGAGCTTCAACTCTAATTTTTCAAAATTCTTCCGAATTTACGGCCCAGCAGGGCAAGTAGATCAAGTACATCAAGTATACGACATACTCGATCTAGTATGGATTTGGTCATATCTGCCCTCTCTGAACATATTACCCATCCGACAATTCAAAGTTTTATGCCCAGATGGGCAATTTGGCCGTTTTTCGTCGAGAAAGTGGATGTTCATGTTCAGCTTGGGGTCGAATCTCTCATGAACGAATTTCTCGTTGAAACTTTGAATTGTCGGATGGGTAATATGTTCAGAGAGGGCAGATATGACCAAATCCATACTAGATCGAGTACGTCGTATACTTGATGTACTTGATCTACTTGCCCTGCTGGGCCGTAAATTCGGAAGAATTTCGAAAATTAGAGTTGAAGCTCTTATACGGAGCGAAGCAAAAATTTTCGCGCCAACCGGATGCAAACCCGCATGCGTTTGACTTGAAAGCGAGACCATTACCACGAGGCCACGGTGGCACTGTCGAAGCATCGTCAGCAGCGCTTAAACGAGCCAGGAACTCAAACTTTTGAAACACCCAACTCGTCCTGGGAGTCCGTTAGCACTTTTTAATATGCCCATGGAAATCCCGTATCCGAAAAGCTGTATGCGATGAACCTAGGTCTCGTCATTCAAAGGTTCCAATTGAAAGTTTTTTTTTTCGAAAGCGCATTCTTGTCAGATTGGGTTAGCGGGCAGATGTCAACCAGACGATCTCTCGCTGCGAGGTCCAGGGCTAATTTCACGGGGCATCTACCAGTCCAGCAGTTGAAGGGGAAGGTAAAGGAGGAGGGATCAGAGAAGGAAGGAAGAAAAAGAAGGAAGGAGGGAGAAAAAGGAAGGAGGGGAGAAGCTTCCCGGTTGACATGTGCCCTGAGACGCTCAGATTGGCTCAGTGTGAACCCCGGGCCACTAAGCAGTACTTGATATAAACAAAGCATCTGAATTGTATAAAATCAAATAGTCAACCTTGACAATTTCAGAAAGCCGAAGAAAGCGGTTTGATAGAACCAATATTGGATCCGAAGTTATGCGCTATGTGCCAGAAAACTCCGCACAAGTACAGGTGTGTTTTATAACCACTCATTATTTTTGCTATCCATCATACAAGCCTAACTTTGGGCCAGATTGCAATAGTTTAACCCATCCCCCGTCTTCTGTCGTAGAATATCACATATATTCAACTCGAAAAGCACCCAGTGTCCGCTTCTGCTGGGCCGCTTATTTGAAGAGCTGTCAGAATTTGAAGTTAAATCCTCATCGGAAGCAGCAAGAGTGCGTGCGCGGGCGCGTATGCTCCCTCGTAAGGCTACAGCGTCTCCTCTAGACCATGGTGGCTCTCGCAGGGAAAGGTCAACTGTGCTCACATGGTAATACTGCATTTACAGCAAGTTTCACTTGCCAGTCATTGGAGGACCACGTAGTATTTTGAGATGTGCTCCTACAGTTTCATTACCAGTTAGTTCGAAGATATCGGCAGCTGGTTACATCTTTTCTTTTTAGGTGTCCGAAATGTGACATCAGGACATGCTGTGTAGCCTGTTCCAAGCAACACAAAGAAGTCAAAAACGTAAGTCTTCTTAGAAATTAGAAATTCGCACTGTTCTCATATAACTCAAAGGTAGGCAGGTCTCATCGTCAGAGACATCTTCCACAATCATCCAGTAGGTAGATTTCTTCTTTTATAAGGCTCCTGGTACACAACCCTCAGAGGTTCCCTCACTTTCCGCGGCTCCGCAGTGAGAGGCAAAGATGCTGCTGCGGTCATAAGCCGAGGATAGCTACCGATGAAAGCGGCCTCACCCATCTGGTGGCGTGATATGTTGATATCATCTCCCAGCTCGTATTTCTGTTCTCGTTCTATTTTGTTTATCTCTGGTCCGGGCGGCGACGTGTTATTTCTCGGAATTCGTTGAATCCTTGGGACCCTATTCGGGGTTTTTTTTGACGGCCTCGTTCCTTTTCTTCACAGGTACTTTAGTGAGCATCTAAGAACTCAAGTGGGGGATCCAGAGCAATCAATTCCACTCGTGGAATGTGTTTTTGATACATCCTGACAGGGATGTTGCCAAATAGCAAGGAATCTGAAGCCGATTTGTGTCTCTTGTGGACTTGCGCCGCTGGGTGCTGTTTGATGAATATTGTATGTGTGTGTGCCATCTTCGTACCATCACAATCTCAACATTCGTCTCACCAAGGGCGAGAATTTTGTCCGGTAGGTTCGCCGGAACCTAAGTACTCATTTGTCCAACAATTTTTTTTCAAGTCTTCCTTTACTTTGCTTCAGTTAGTCTGCTGATTTATCTGTTTCCATTACCATAGAATATCAAAATGATTAGTAGGTTTCTAGCACCCTCTCCTTCTGGCTTTATAGATCGCGAACAGATATTGTAGAGCCTCAAGACTGGCAAATAAGAGCAGCCAGCTAACCAACAATTTCAAACGAAATAGTCTAGTTGTCCAATGGACCACTTCTTGTAAACCCAGTTGTTGTTCTCGTTTATCTCAAGGTTTTTTTCAGTGTGACGGAGTGCGACCACCCTTCCAAGCAGTTGCTAAGCTGTCGCAGTTTGACGCTGCAAAATCTGTCCAAGATCAGCGATTCCTTCATGCCGTTCAAAGTAATTTGAGTAGCGCGCCTAGGGCTTCTCCATCCACTCATGCGCAGTATCAGCTTGCACATTCGGTGAGTTGTAGTCCGTACTGTACTCAGCTGTTCTCTAGTTCAAGCCTGTTTCTGTGGCTATTTACTTGGATACTTTCCTAACATGTTAGGAATTTAGCTGTTCGCCACTGACGCTTCCCTATTAAGGCTTCCTCCTGCACGACTGAGGCCAATGGCTCGTTTGGATCTGCACTGGATACAAGTCGAGGTGAAGAGGAGAATTCAGAAAATATCCGTCACAAGGTTAATCCCGGTTTTATTCGCTGGTTCGCTCTAGCTCTTATAAGCAGATCCAGTTTTCGTTTGAAATTTGAGAAACAACATTTTATTGCACATTTTTTTCCATATTCTTTACATTTTTGCCGCTGCTTTGGTTTCCAGACAGCTTTGGATAGATTCATTAGACGCCGAGTTCAAACCATTTAGGCGAATTCAGCACAGGAACGTTTCCTCATACAAAATGCTATACGTCGTCGAATCTGGCTGTCCTTCAGTGACGATAAAGGTTTGTGATCAGCTTTTGCTTTACGCCTTAGGTTGCAAGTCGGCTAAAGTGGTATAGCTTATTCAAAGCTATTGCCCGCGTTCAGAAATAGTGAGTTTTGTGGCCCAAATACGAATTACAAAATGGTGAATAACATAAAATCAGCAACACAGTCGCCTTACTCTCACCACTCGAAATCGGGGGAGTTATAGTGGAGCAACCGTAGTACCGGAGAACCTTTGGAAACGAATGTTGGGTGTCGCCAAGGCCAGTGGGCGGGACCGTGGTCTCGTTGAGAGCTGGTCCTCACATATTTTTAAGCTGCGGAAGTAGTTCAACCTCCCGCTTTTGGACAGGATAACCACATTCGCATAAACGTCATATGAAAGTGGAGCAAGGACTCCGTGTCCAAAACTGGCAATGCCATATTATGAACTCAATCTTTGAGGACTTTTGCGTAAACCTTTGTATTCACAGTCTTCCCTTTTGGGTGACCCCTTCCATATCCACCACCCTGACTGATTTCCATTCGCCTTATTTTTCTATATAGTTGCTGTGTGAAGATTTTCTTCCAGGAGGTGAAGACTGTTCTCGTCATGAGCAATTTTCGGACACAATATTCTGGTGTGTTGATCTAATTTTCACCAAGCAGTTGGAGGATGGCTCTGCGTCGGAGTACTCATACCGTATTCAAAATATACCTGAAACAATCCGGCTTGTGACAGTAGGTTTCCCTCATGAGACTAAAATCTAATTCCTTGATTATTTGTCCGATACTCTTAGCTCGCAGTCTGCTGGAAAGTGGTTTTTATTGTTAAGGTTCTCAAGCAGTTTCTGAAGCCGCGACAGCATGGTTGTATTGTATCGAAATCTGACTTAGACATGGAGAAAATGACACCATTTATTGAAGCAGGAATAGAGAATATCAATGGATTCATGTTGGTGCCCAATTATGAACCGGAAAGGTAATGTTAGTTTCTGCACAGGTTTCTGGATATAATAGGGTGATTTCTTTGAATATTCAGGTACTATGCGATTAACTTTGAAAAAGACCTTCTGCACAACACCCGTAACAGGGTAATTGTTAATCATCCTAGAATTATCATAACTCTGAATACTGAGTTTATCTCATCGCATCAGGTGAATCGCACTCATCCTTCTTCCTCTGTAGATGGGGATCTTAAAATTTTTGCTCTATCCTTAACGTTTCAGTTGGTTTCGGAGACTGAAGCCGAAGAAATCAGAGAAAAGCAGCGCCAGTCGCGGGCGATGGGTCAAGCCGCCGAAGAGGTAGATAATTTCCCGTTTCCGCTTTCACCAAGTGTGTCTTTTGAAGATTCATTGCAAAACGATCTGTTCTTCTCTTTAGAATATACCAATTCAGGGTTGTGGAAGTGGATTTCATCGTGGAGGAAGAGGTGGCGGCTTCCGTGGTGGTCGTGGAGGACCGCGTGGTGGGTTCCGAGGTGGCTTCCATGGAGCCCCTCACGGTCATAATAACCGTGAACCGCAAAGAAATGGCCCGAGAGGATTTCGGGTATGCATTACATTCCGAATGTTTGCTCATGGATGGCTTATTGCACACATGTTCTCAGGGTCGCTTCGACGGAAAGAGGCCAAGGGACTTCGACGACGACAACTCTGGTATTCATAGCAAGAGAGGCCGTGGTGGGAGAAACGACAGGGGACCTTCTCACAATTACAGGTTAGCACCTTTGTTTGGTTGGCCTTCTTACTAGGTCTGCGTGGTGTGCTGAAAACAATGTCAGAGTGGACTCATGCCTTACGGCAGCGTTCTGTGCATTTTGAGCGGGTAGGAAAGTATAGATATCGCTCCAGCATTTTGAGCCTACACCAGCTTTTTGAGTAGTGTGAGCGACTGCCAGTGTTTCTAGCGACTACGAAGGTATGTTGATTACCGCTCAAAACGCTAAGCCGATACCTGTACTTTCCTAGTCTGATCAAAACGCTGCCGCAAAGTGTGAACTTACTCTCATTCACGCAGTGTCTGCCCTTTGTTTATAACATTTCTTTCTCATAGGAGTCTGGACGATGAGTTCGATCCATTTGAGCCATTCGAGGGTCCTGTTCGCCTTCCTCGCTCTTATCTGGGCAAGGGAGAGAGTAAAAAAACAGAAAATGGTGCTGCTGGCAACTCTTCCGAAAACGTCAGTAAAGAAGATGTCTGAATATAACTTTCCAAGATTTCTCGCTTAGATAGTCTACCTGGGGAGGCCCTTGCTCGAAGCATCCATTCGTAATGGGATCATTCCGTAAGACATGTTTTCTGACAGCCATTTCAAACCTGCCTTCCCAAACTGGGAGATGATCCTATGGTTTTATGAAGGTTTTTCGCTTGCGTGGCCAGCCTCTTGTGCCTGTTCCGAGATCAACGTTGGGAAAGCGTGTAGTAGTATAGATCCAATTGCAGTAGAAGCTTACGACCTGGGTACCATCCATTGTAAGCTTTCTTTTTGAGAGTTTGGCATCTTTTTTGCATAAGTTTTTATGATAAGATGATCTTCTTCCACTCGTACCCTCATATTCGTCGTTTCACTCTTAACTAACTAGTTCTTATTGAGTGCGTCGTGTCACAATCGTTCTAACTTTCTAAAACCTTCTAGCAACCTGATTTTGTTACCGATTGTTCTCTTGGATTTCATTTTTTATTTCTTTTCATGGCTTCGTCACACAATTGCCATATAGTGATCTTTTTCTTCGATTTTTTTTTGTCATTTTTTCCTAATTCTCTATAGAAAGGTTGTTTTTTCTGTTACAAGTTGTGATCTTGACTGTTGATTGTACACAGTTTGTTGATACTGGCCAGTTGGATCAGGTATATTCCGTAGTTTCTCATTGTTAGTGTTTGCTTCTTCGGACATAGAATTCGCGTTGCTTCGGCACTGAATGGAGCTCCATATTTTGTTCGTTGTTGTTATTGACATGTTGTTACATAACTGTTACGTTCTTAGACGGTATAAAGGATACCTTTACTTTCACAGTTTGTATTCATACCGTCTTTTCAAGAAGTCCGTATATCTCTCCAATAGTAAAGGGCTAAGCATATTGCGGAATCATGGAAAAAGAAAATTAAGATCAGTTGAACAAGTATGAGCAATGATGCCTTGGACAACTCTGATCTTCTTGAACTGACTTCGATGGAACCTCTCAGGATGGGTAATGGTGGGTGAAGATTTGTTAGTCTAGATGATCTCGATTGGTAATTTTGTTCGCACAGTGGGATTCATTTCATAACAAGGCACCGTTAACCCTTTACCGCTCGACTCTTCAAAAGCCGGGTCAGATTTTGATCGAAATTTTCTTGGGAATAAATTTGGCAGAAATTTC